AAAAGGAGTTGATGTTAATGTCAATCTGAACACATACTTTCATATCTCAAAGACTTGGCAGAATCAATATTTTCATCTGCAAACTTCTGTCCAGTGTAAGTAGGCCTTGTTTGTCTGTGTTTATCTGTCCATACCAAATTCGCTTCAAATTGGCCTGCTGGTGTTAGTAATTGTTAACAATGCACCAATAACATTTCTGCTTTGAATCTTAAGCATGCATGGATAGATATTACTATGAAATGGAACATATAGAACCTTGTTAGACATCAGTATGTTTTTCATGTCGAATTCATGTCGAGTGGTGGCAATTTTATTCTCCACAAATATAATTCTAGAGTCATGACATTTTGACTGCGTTTGTTCATGGTTTGTGCATGCATATAACAACATCATAGTCTGTGTGTGAATACATTTAGCATTGTTTATCACAATTTTTTTTAAAAATTCAAATTTTTTTTTTTTTTCACAGACCGCTTAGGTATCTATGTGGGTGTTTACAAAGAGATGTAAAAAGGAAATGGCCTGACAATCAAGACACCCACTCCAGAGTAGTCAGGTCAGTATTCAAAGTACAGTAGGGAGGTCGGTATAAAGACTAGTGATGTTGGTATAAAGACTGGTGAGGTCTGTATACAGACTGGTGAGGTATATAGACTAGTGAGGTATACAGACTAGTGAGGTCTGTATACAGACTAGTGAGGTATACAGACTAGTAAGGTATACAGACTAGTGAGGTATACAGACTGGTAAGGTATACAGAACAGTGAGGTATACACTCACAGTTGCTGTCGACATAGGAAGTAAAGTAAGCAAATAACATCGAATAAACAGCAAGGTAAAGAATATGTCTAATTATAGTAAACACGTACTGCGTGCGTGACTCGAACGGGCACTTGCGTACGGCACCTAATCGCCTAGCTTCACGCCACTACACGTCTTCCCCTCGGCCACCGGGCATCCCCAAAAAGAGATGCTTAATAATCGAGCTTATTACGTGCAGAGAACATGTAACCTGTCTACGCGATCCGCGCCACACAGCGTGGCCTAAATGCGACAAAGGCCTTCAGATCTGGCTGTAGTAGGATGGTGAAAGTAATGGTACAGCAT